CGGCCAGAGCACATGCCAAGGCACTACGCTGCACAGAAACTCCACAAAGAGGTACGCAAGAAGAGGACACATTATTCTCCGCAGTAAAGGCATTTTTTCTTAACTTCCAATTTTTTTTTTCTTTTCAATGTAAAAATCTCTTTTGCTCGAGCCCCACGCTGGGCGCCAATTTTTGTCTCCGTTTAAGGGCTCAGGGCAGGAGCCCACGGAGCAGAATTTGTGCTCCCCCTCCCTAATCCCTCAGTTCTCCCCGAGATGGAGAGGTAAAAAGGGAAGTCAGGAGTTAAGAGAGACTTTGCACTAATTGGAAGTTAATAGAAGTATATTTTTAACAGGGAGCAGAAAGCGAGACTGGAAGTAGATATATATACACACAAAGATGGGAGGAAAACAAAGTGAACACAAGGGATACAAAACCCGCTCTGGGCGCGCAGGATCGCTGGGAACCGCGTCGATGGAGCCCTGCTCCGCTCTGCCTCTTTATGGAGCGTGGGGAGGAAGGGGGCGGGAATAACCCCTTCCCCCGGGACCCTCCGCGGCCTGTCCCGCCCCCCAGCCTCAGACCACACCTCCCCGAGAACCACAAACATGAAAGGTACGATCCTTATACACGTGCCAGAGATGAAAAATCAGCAAAAACATTAAAGACAGACATATGTGTATCAAAACTATCATACAAATCAATTGGTCCTGTCCCAGAGCAAACATTAAAATAGTTCATGAGAATCTAGAAAGATGGGTATTTCTTTTTCTTGAAATTTTCAGATCATGGGAAGACTACAGCCTGTGAAGTACAGATACTTCATTACTTCATTTTAAAAGACAAAAAGACAAAGAACAGTTTTGGTATTTTCAGCCAGATTTACAAATTTAGGATTTTCAGTATGCAACAGATTCATCTAAGTGTGTGCTTTCTGTTATTCACCATCATGACAACCAATAATGAGTTATTGTCAAGCAAACATTATTTCAGGGTACAACGATACTTTGCCATGCTGTTATTAATGAAACATTAAATATTTGGGTTTACTTTTCCTATTTTTTATTTTTTTGCCTTCTTTTTTTCTGGTGAGCCTGTCTTGATTGTTTCTGTGCTTCTAGACGACTGTCATCCCCTTCTGGCAACCTCCTTGCTTCTGAATGCTTGATGTGATTTAGGGGTTTGGTATTACTACATGCAGTGTATTGTTCATCCTTCTGGAAGAGAAAGATTTCATCTTATCCCCCACCTGTGAGAAACCACATAAAGAGGACAGGACAAATAATGTTTATCCATTATGGTTTATTCTCTACAATACTTCATTAGAGGATAGAGTTCAATTATTTACACTCAGAAGTTATTATATAGGTAGGAGGCAACCAAGTGTAATACAAAGAATTGGTCTGACATCTCTGCACTGAAGGTCAAAAGAGGTCTCCTGCTTTAAGGAAATAAATTAACCAAAAAAAACCCCAACAAAACAACATGTAGTTTCCAGAATACAAACAGAAAACAGCACTAATAGTCAGTGAAGATTGCAGATGTTTGTTAATGTACTATGAAAACAAATTATTCTGTGCAAAGGTTAAAAAGAACTCTTAGATTTTATTACAGATTTTTTGTTTGTTCTGATAAGTTGTAGATATGTGATACTTTGACAATAGAACGTTCCCAAACTGAAATGTTGTCAGTTGAGATTAACTGTTGAACATTATGAAGAAAAAAAAAAAATTAAGAACCTCACAGTGGAAACATTCCAACACTGACAGACTCCAGTGATCAAAGACATTCTCCTGTAGTTACTGTAAAACAAAGACAATTCATCATCGCAGTGAGATTATCTCTCAGCTGTGGTTCTCATGAGAATAAGCCCTTCTAGACCAAAAGGCACTTGCTTCTAAGGATGAATTAAATCCAGATCAAACAGTTCTAACCTGCTGTCCCAGCCAAGCAACCACAGAGAAATTCTTACACCACATGGCCATTGATTTTGGGTTTTGCCTCCATCTTGAGGCAACCCAAAGTATGTTTTGTTTCTCGTTCACCTCTTTCATCCTTATGCATAGCTGCCACGTAATGATCTAGAAATGGGATCATTTCCTGAGCCCACCTGTCCTTGTCATACATTTCTGAGCTAACTACTGACACACTTTTCAACTGATTTTACAGCTGGGCCCTCATGGGACTGAAGCCGAGAGGGCCCGTTTCTCAGGCAGCAGACCAGTGTTTCTGATTTGCTAGCTTCTCTTCTCACTGCAACAGGACAAGAACACAGTACATATTTAGAGGCTTTTTTTTTTTAAACAGACTGAGTGGGGAAATGGAAGAGGGAGAGGCTAAGGCTTCCCCAGTCCCAACCCATTGAGCCCACTTCAGGTTTAAACCAACCAAGTCACTCAATCCTAATTCTGTTCTTTAAAAAAAAAAAACAAAAAAACAAACAAAAAAAAATGACAGCTAACCCTCCCCACCCCACCCCTTAGTCATCCCCTATTCAAATAAAATGAAATCAGGAAAACACTGTACACTTGAAGACACAGAACAGGGCAAACATTTGAAAAAGAAAGACTCTTGTTGAAAAGCCTGGCATCATATGCCTGCATGACCAGTCTCACTGAGCGTGCTCAGGGGTGAAGTTTTAGCACCATTTTTTTGCTTTTTTTAAACCTTTTAGAAATCAAATTCTAACGTAGAACACTTGAACAGTAATGAGTGTAGCCCTATGTATCATACTGTTTGACAGCTGAAAGGTGAAAGGTATGTCCAGAGCTGACCCCACCCTCCCCCATCCCTACATGGCACCTGGGAGAGTAATTACAAACCACTCGAGTTTGTAACAAGACTGATTTATTCTCAGCAGCAGGAAATTGTGAAACAATCCCTCGAATCTTCAGCTGCTTTTCAACAACATCACAAGGGAAAAGTGGCAATTGGTAGGAATGACCCAGCACAGGAGAAAAGCTGGGTCGATATTGCACCGTTATCCAGAACGGGACGCCCTCCTGCCCCTCACATCTCCCTCCTCTGGCAGAGGAACACTGCACCAACAGGAAGCAGAAACTGCACAATTCTCTTTGCTTCTCTAGGCCCAGCAGGCCCAGCAGCATGCAGTTCCCAGGCCTATCAGCCATGTTCCCTGCCACACCAGGAGAGTTTCAGGCTCCAAACGCCAGCCAATTTTAAAAGCCATCATTACCACACACAAGCAAGCCTTAAAGATACGCCCAACCCAACAGCCATTACTCTGCTATGCACTTGTATTTTCCTTCCTGATCATTGTTGACCCTCCAGAAACTTGGAAAACAAAATAAATCTCACAAAATTACATTCTGAAGTCCAGTGACCTCATTGAGAGAGCGTCGCAACTCCGTTTATGACATCCCTCAAAGATGCTGCAGAACAACAACTGGATAACTTCTCTTCCTCTTAGAAGAGAGTATTTCTTGTCATTGTCAACGATGGGAGAGGAAATACAGGGTGCACACGAGTTTCACACCGTTTGGGTAATACAGGTTTCCCCACTCATTGCCACGATGTGGTAATGACCAAGCTGTAGAAGGTAACAACTTACCAGTGAAACTACACAGCTCTACTCCACAGCCCTGCTATCAACTGGAACACTCACAGTGCTCAAGAGCAATAGTCACACCAGAGAAAGTGGCTGTCCTAACAAAAGGAAGGTCCCCGAGACTGTTAGCTTAAGTGAAACAAATTTCAGTCACCAGTCTCACTTGTATGACTACTGTCAATGCCCTGCAGACCCCTCTCCGTCCCTAATCCAACCGTGCTCCGTTACAAGTATTTGGACACAAAAATTTAGTGGTAGCAGAGAAGCCTGCCCAGGGACACTGGAGTGCCCCACCCTTGGCACACACAGCACGGGCCATGCTGCTCTCTCACAGGGGTAACAGCATTCTCTCTCTTTGTAGGCTATGCTACAAAGTGCTGTCTGAAAACCCAGAAAGCTGTAAACCGAGGGGATTTCTAGAGAATCCCACCTACAAGGCGATCGGCTAATTAAAGCTTTCTAGGGTTTATTCAAAAAGTGGATTCATCTGCAATACCTTCCAAAGGTTTTAAGCCTCTTCAAGTGTTTTCTGTCTGTGAGGATGGGGTGCTACCCAGATGTTAACCCTCCTCGATATCGCAACGTCCGCCTGCGACGTGTCGGGGACTGCCATCAGCTCTCGGTACACAACAGATACCAGAGGTTAAAAAAAAAAAATTAAAAAGAACCTAAAAAATGTTTTGTTGGACTCCGTTGCCCAGGCTGCCAGGGGAATGCTCCTGCTTGATCTGGGGGGGCTTCCAGAACAAACTCCTCAGGTTTCCGGAGTGTGGGTAACGCGCAGGAACGGGTCAGTCCCAAGCGGCGCTTTCGCTCCTAGAGGTCTTCTGCACCTCCCGACAGTTCGTAGGCATGGAGCCCCAATCCAACTGGACCCCCATTCGGAGGGAAGGCTGAGATAAGGCTTGGGCCCCTGAAGTTCTGTCATGCTCTCATCCTCCCCCCAGGTCAGCTGGAAGGCAGACTTGGCAACGGAAGCTAGCATCATAAAATGGTGCAGTAATAGAAGTAACTGGACCAGGAAGAGGAGGCGTCGGCCCCAATGATGTCGTAGCCGTTGGCAGCAACCGGGGAGTGGGACTGGTCATGCAGCCGTGTGTCAGGAGTAATGATTGTAGAGGGGGGGGGCATGAAGGGTGCCATTCTGGAAACAATGCTGACGAGAAGCCATGTACTCTGCGTAGCTGATTGTCACCTTCTCACTGCGGTACCTAGGGGAACAGCAGCAGAAAGGACTCATGTAGACAGACTATGCAGCACGAAGGGACTAGACTTAAAAATGCTCATCCCAGACCACAGTTTAGCTCACAGCCAATAACGACCAGGAGGACCCACTAACTTAAAGACTGCTTTGTTTGATACTGTCTGTCTCAGTAGTCTGAATAACCCATCTAGGCTTGAATTAGCTTCAGTGTCCCAAAAGCTGAGCCCTACTCAACACAATCGTAAGTACACAGGAAACAAACAATCAGTTTGTGTTCTTTTTATCCACTTGCTGTGGATAAAAGAGGCATGAAAAGTTTGCTGGAAGAACGCTCAGTTTCAGAGACTCAATAACCAGTATTTTACTATTTACTTTTCTGGTTATCTTCACATTTGAAAGGCTAGTGAAAGAAGACAATGGAGAGTTAAGTAGAAGGAGGTTTAGTACAGCATATATGTGACTTGGTCCACATTGTACCATCAGAATTCACAAAAATTAAGTCCCTTCTGAGAGACCAGAGATTTCCAGGTGCTTCTAAAGCACGTTACACAACACAGAACTTCAAAGCAGTTGTGAATTGCACTAGGTCCATATCACACGAGAATTTAATGAAAACCTTTATCCTGTTCTCTCCTGTTCAAAAAAAACCCTGCATACCCACCTCAATTCTCTGGAGGTAAGGAACAACCTGATAAATTAGCGTTTCTATACAAAATCAGAATGTCCCAATTTTCACTAACATAAAAGGAGCTGAAAGCAACAGGACAGCTGGGGGATAGAAAAGCAGGCAAATTCTGAAAGCCAGCCAAATCTGAGTGTGGCTTGGTTTTAAGACAGCTGTCACCTCCAAATCGCTGCACTATCCACAGATGAGCACACTGAGAAAAGGAAGTCCATTGTAAAGAGACAGAAAAAAAATCAAACTGTTTAACTTGCAAAGGTTCTGCTTCCTTTGATCCTTCACACGGATGCTAATATTAACACCAGCAGCACTTAGAAAATGCCAACTCTGATATAACAACTTACCTGGTGAGTTTAATGGTTTTCCTAAAATCATTGGTAATCGGAGCCTTAAAGCCACCTTTCCTGAGTAAGGAGTCTATGGTCTGGATCTGATCCCAGTCTGTTGAAAAACAGAAGCAAGGGAAAATTTTCAACATAAAAATTCCATTTAAAAAAAAAAAAAGATAAGAGATGCATTAAAAGGCCTCTAGAAAACTAAACGGGAAACTTGGAGCTCTAGAAGTACCAGTGTTAAACAAGACATACATGTCTTATGCATGCACACTCTCTGCACATGCCAACCCCTTTTAACTCATTTTGGAACTGGTCTATAAAACAGTATTTCCACTTTCCATATGACCTCTCTTCTTACACAGGTCTGTGCCTTGCTTCTCTTGCAGGGACCCCAAACTGTTTTATCACGTGCCACTCAGGTTGAGCTCTCTAAGCCTTAAAACAAGGTAGTACTTAGCTCTTTACACAGACAAATGGGCATCAACCTGATGCTCTAGTGATAGCACAGTGCACTGCTATGGGAGAGATCAGAGTTAAAATTCCTACCTTAGTCTTTTGCCCCAGAGCCAGGAGGAAGCGACCACTCCACTCTGCTAGGTGGAGGAAAGGAGGCAATGTTTTGAGCAGTTACCATGGTGACCACTACTCTATTTGAGTGGGAAGTGTGCTCCAGAGGGGCCCTGTTTCCTGCCCTCGTCTGGAGGGTGCTACTTTAGCAAGAATGAGGAGGAAAGGGACTCTCCTGTTGGTGCTGTGCAGCCTGCAGTTATCCTAGTTGGTGGGAGAAACATAGAAGAGGAAAGATGCAACACTGAATGAGGCCGGAAGATCCATACTTTGAGATCCTCTATTTCTTAAGCCCTGAAATATTTTTATGCTGAGATACAACTGTGCACAGATGTGGGGTGAAATAAAGGCCAGATGAAAACCCAGCAGCAGCTGTATCAGGTGTCACGTTATCCAGATTAAGTCTGGTGGCTCCATGGCACTGCTGTGCGGACAGCAGTGCAATCCAATCCCCAAATCCATAGATTTGTGTTACCCAGTTCTCTGACAGGACGTGTTGATAAGTTTATCTGCCATCTCAAACCCACCTTGTTCCTTAGCAACCTCAGGTAAATACGTGGCTGTGCGTTTGACACCTTTCTCATTGATGAACTCTATTCTGATCCCATGGATCCCAACCTAGAGATGGAAATGAACAGCCAGATAAGAGGTGTTTGCTGGCACTGAGCCCATGACTGAGTTATCATTCCCACAACATCATCTCTCTCCCTCTCTCTGGCCAGTTTGGCTTTTGCCTGCATAAGGACATTCTCATTCTCACTTTGCCCTTGCCAGGCTGGTCTCACAAGTGGCTCTCTTAGCAGCATACAGGAGCTCTGCCATTTTTCCCAGATGAGCCTATCCAGCCTCCCTGCCACTTCTCCTGAAGGAAGTCTTGTTAGAACTCTGACAGGTTTCCATCTCTTATGCTGGACAAGGAAGACAAAATCTCTATGCAAGACTCATGCCTAGAATAGCCCAACCAAAAAAAAGTCTATTCAATCCTCCTTGAACGAATACACTTCCATGTACAAGGTCCTAAAAATGATTAATACCTTCAGTCTTAATTACTTTCTATTCCCAGTTTCTATTCCCAGCATCAAAATGCTTGCCAAGTTTTTACATATGTATTTACACACATCTCCTATCGGGCCAAATGCATAAAACACTTCTCTTATTTCCCATCCAGAACCCCTCCCAGCCAAAAGCAGACTTGCTACCCCATCCTCTTCCTCCCCCTTCTATTTCCCAGCCCTGTCTCTTCTTCCCCCGCACACCCCTGTAACGAAGGAGACACATCACCATGTACTAACCCGAACCCGAACGGAACGAGAGAGTGATGCAGAGTTCCAAGTGCACCTGTTCTCACCTCCCAGTCCAGGTAGTCACTGGCATCCTCAAAGTTAGTGAGGAGGGAGACAGAGCAGAAGAGTTTGGGCAGCTCCTCGCGGGTCAGGGGGGGAAATCGGCTGTCCTTAAGTGCACTAAAGGAAAGAGAAGTGATATTGCCTAATACAAGCACCACATTAAAATATCAGATGCTCAATTACCCCCTTTTTGATCATGCCTCTGTGAAACATGTCTCTCTTTGCTACTGCAGACAAAGTGATTTGCATCTCTTCCTAATTTAATGAGCAGTAATACACAAACAGTAGCACAAGCTTCCTGATGCTGTCCTCCACTTCCTGCAGCTGGAGAGAAATTCTGTGCTATTTAACATGTCAAAACCATCAGTGTGCAAGACAGATTTGCCATCAGCCTTAAAACATCAACCAAAACTTACCTGTTGCAGAGATGTTCCACTAAATTCCAATATCACCTCACCCTATCACACCTTTCTCAGGTTTATTTTATTGTGAGGCACATTAAACTGAACCACGTTGAGCCAACGTTTTAACCTTGAATCCTTACAGGGCCTCGGCAAATTAAACTGATTTCACATCTATTTCATTTTCAATGTTAATTACCTGGTTAATGTGTATTCCCTGAGTCCTGAGTGAAGATTCATGGCTGAGAAGGTCCCGATGCAGCCACGAAGCCGCTTGTCCCGCCCCGTCTTCCACGTCACAAAGAGTGGACTGGAAAGGGAAAAAAAGAGACATGCTGCAGCCTCTGGAGATCCCTGGTTGCCAAGGGGAGACCAAAAAGCTGATAAAGAGTAGGTATGTGTGTCCTTGCTTTCCCTCCCCTGACCAAACCCCAATAGCCATGTCTTCCAACCTGCTAGCCAGCAATAACAAAACCCCACACCCAGACCCCCACAAACACCTCCCCCCACCTTTCTGGCATACTCATTTCTCTCCACCAGTTCCCTGTAAGCCCTCCACTGACACCTCCATGGCTAGACTGTGTTGTCACCTAATGAGTGATATTGCCATTTGAGCCCTCTGATTACCTCTGTGAGTAATGGCCTCACTTACCAGCATCCACTAGTTTACATGACAACCCATATAAAAATTAATATGGGTGAAGCAAATAAGATTACTTATTTATAGTACCATTGAACTGGAAAGTTCCCCAAGCATTCTGCAAATCATCTATAATTCAAGTTTGCAATAAAAGCTTGCTTCTTTTTTTTTTTTAAAGGGATAAAAAGCAAACCTAGGTTCTTCTTTTTACCTGTTATTTCCATGAGAATCTGACTTCCAGGTCCAACCCTACTGCTCAAATAGTTTATGTTCACATCTTTTGCTTACCTTGTATTTGATTTATATTTACACATATTCTTTCCTGCTTTTTTTTAAGGCAGACCTAAATCACTGTATTGTTCCTGCTCAAACACCACAAGGATCTCCATTTTCCTGTCTACTACCATGAATTTACAGGCATAACAGCAGAATCACAAATTCAGCAGACTCATTTCAATCTGTTAAACTAGATGCCATGATTAAGCCTTGAGGAACAAGAAGTTTAGAAGAACAGTATTCAGAAGAGCTCTATGAAGATGTAATCAGGTAAAGATGACTGAATATTAAAGGCATAAAGTTCACTTCTGCAGAAGGGAGTGAAACTGCAAACAGCTGTAGAGAGAAACAGTGAGGGAAGGACAGTCGTGGCTGCAGTTCTACAAGAATCTCCAAGCATCTGGAAGATTCTGCAAGGCAACTGATCTAATTATAAAACCAGGATGAATGATCTTACTTTTTCAGATTACAGAGTGCTTAATACAACATGTGGTCACTTTGAACCCAGTCATAAATGAGAAAGTCATTAGTGATTCCACACATCAGTCTAGAGATTGATATTGCACTTGAATATTGAAGTAATACAATAGAAAACATGCAGTGTTAAGAAAAGAATTTTCTGAGATCAAATAAACATTGACAGGAGTTCTACAAGATGACAGAACAACTGATTTGACAGCAGAGCTCAGACACTTCATTTCTACAAACTCTTGGAGCTCTTGTAAGTAATATTTTTGCAGCAAGCATTACAAAAAATCCTAACAGATTCTGTTCAGAGCATAGAACCAGGATGGGGTGTGGATGGCTCCTCAAACCCAGGCAGCAGAGCTGCTTAGAGCCCAGTACTCAAACATCATTTAAACTGCAGTGACAAAGCAATGCCCAGTAATATTCCTCAGAGCAACAATGGAATTAAAAAACTCTCTCACAACATAATCCATCATTCAGGATCTAGTTACCAGCTGGACCAAGAGCAGAAGCACTACCCAAAATAGCAAACAGCCTTTAAGTGATAACTGTGAGGTGCTTTGCCCACAGAGGAAGAGGAAACACTCTCCCACAGGCATCAGACACCTTATGGTTGCTTGACCAGGACAGAGGATTTACTGTTCTAGTTTTCCAGCACTTCAAGGCACTTGCAAGGTATCATCCCTCTACACTTTCATCTCCCTACCATATGTTGAAACAGAAAACAAACAGAGCAAAAGAAAATCCATCAGAAAGCTTACCAAAAGGGATGCTAAACTTCCAAAGGAGATTTCTGAGAAACATCACTGTGAGAAGCTCAGTAGAAATTTAGCTTAATCTAATTAAAGTTTTGAAACCATTACTTAGCCCATGTGACACTCACCCCAAACAGAAAAGGGAAGGGAGCAAATGAAAAAACATCACTGACAGAATACAAATCTAATTCCTTCTCTGATTCAAATTACAGGTTCACATTTCCCATTCACCTCTTTACCCTTCCAAAGGGAAAGAAAAAAAAGCTGTTTCCACTGAGCTGTGACACAGCTTTCTGTGTCTATAACAGAAGAGATATTACCAGAAAGGGCAGGATAATTACATTCAGAAGGCTGTCATATTTTAAAATACCTTAAAGAACGTTTAAATTTTTTTTTCACTGTGATCATAGCTACTAAGGCATCAAAAAAATATGTATTTTGTACAAGTATATAAAATTTCACTGTCATAAAGGTTTTTCACTGCAGAAAAGACATTGTTTCTGTAGCTGAAGAATAACTGCACTTAGCAAACTACAGGTGCAGCTGACAAGAAGTTGTTCCACAGCCCCTCCTTGAGCAGTGTTATTTGCCAGATCTACTCAAAGTCACCACAATCTTTTGCCCATGTTCCCCCAAAATCACTTACCAGTACTTTGCAGTCATGTTCTCAGCAGGCTGTGGCAACCATTCCTCCCCCAGCCACAACACCTTCCTTAGGTGTGTTTGGTGAGGGTTTGCTAGGATGTGGGGGGAATTTCAGCAATACAAACCAGCTTCTCCGATTGCAAACACAAAGGGAATTTTAAAGCAGCAGAACATTGTGTGGTCAAATCAGAATTTAGCTTGTGCTAGCAAAAAAAGCTGTTGTGGCACAGATTTTGTGATGCAAGTGTCTTGTCTTGCATTGCAACTAGAAACTTGCACAGTGTATTTTTAGTATCAGTTTCCAATACCTACTATTAAAAAAAAAAATCAAAGACTGAGGTACCACACGGGAAGGAGTAACCCATTAACCATCTGCATGCCACACAAGTTCAGAGCTGTCATGTTTCTAGGAACCTGAGCAGCAAAGGGGATATTTTCTTTGTTTACCAAGTTAATTCAGACATAACTGTGAGTTCAGCACCAATTTAAGAGATCTGTTATCTGAGAAATAGGCCAATAACCCTGTGCATCTTTCTGTTCCTTCCATCAACAGCCTCTTTTCTGCCTGTCCAGAGAGACTTCTCATATATACCTTGGTTTTGTTCAAAGGTCTCTTACATTGACATTAATTATGTTACAAAGGACAACCATGCCATTATTTATGTGTTTTTACTTTGCTTACTCTTCTCTTTGATAACATTTGGCTTGAAGTTCATTACATTACTGTCTCAAGTGGGACAGACCATCTCTGTGTGCTGCTCTACAAGAGAGCAAACCCCCTGCTCCTCCCTGGGGTACACAGAACTATTTGCTAGAAGCAACAGCATAAATGCTGAAACACAAGAAAATTCAGGCAGGAATTCACCTGGGGGAGAAGAAAAGAGAAGAGCTGGTTTTGCTTTGGAGTGCTGATCTACAAGAGTTAAATTTATCAGCACAGAAATGCCTGATGATCATTTTTAACTTTTCAGATTTGGACATAAAATTCAAACAGCTGAGAGAATGCCCTTTCTGAAACCAGTCCACAGAAACAGCATTAAAAACCTGCTAGAAATCCCCTTCCACACCAGAACAATGAATCTGTATAAAACAATCTCTCTTATTTACTTAAGAACAGCCAAAAATAAAAAAAACCAAACAAACAAAAAACCAACACAACAAACCCTTTGCATTTCAAGTGACAAAATAATAACCAGCCTAAAGCATCATTGTCTAAGAGGAGCCTACATAGTTGAGGTATGAAAAACAGACAGAAACATTTCCCTCTGGGGAGTCTCTGGAACCATTCTCTATTCTAGTCCAGAGTCCTTCTCCATCCACTTGTATTGACAATATTAAACAGCTTAGTCTGCAGTAGCATTCAGAACATGTATCCATAATCCTGCTCAGATAATAACTGCATGGAAGCACAACCTACATCTCCACTGACAGCCAATAAGGCAGGGAGACATTTAATACATGGAAAAAGTCCTTGACCTGTTTAAGCCATTGTTCCTTTACATCAATTTAAAATTCATTAACTGAAATTAAGGATGTCAACAACTCTTCATTCTATCTGTTGTTCCAGAGGTGGCCCCTGGAGGAGTGTCAGGAGGTGTAGCTGTCAGTGATCTTTCCCATATCATTCTGCCACCAAACATTTTAACAACATTAACATCTCCACACCTACACGTTCAACCTTCAGATGAACAACAGCTAAATCTCAAAGCAAAATGCTTTCCTAAATCCTTCCCCTCATACACACTCCTTTCTCCTTAACCTTGGTCTCCTCCTTGAAAATTAACTCCCCATTTCTCCCCACAGTGCCCAATTAGCACTATCTCCCTAACCCAGGTTTTCAGTTCCACAACTGACAAATTTTTGGTTCCACTTCCTGCTAAACCCATTAACTTGGACAGCTGAACACTCTTTGAGTGTCCTTCTCTGAGTCTCACCAGCTCAGCACTTGTTTCAGGATGAGACAGGAACTTGTTTCACCTTTGTACTTCCCTTTCCATTAGCTTTGCAGAAGGAAGTCTCTCCCCCAGTCCCTTCACCAAGCCAGTGCCTGATGTTAGAAGCAAGATCCCCTTCAAATTTATGACAGTTTTTACTGTTTCCTGAAAGCTCTAACTTCAGTTTCACTCTTTTAGTATGATTTTATGGGAGGCACAGTGCAGTCCATTTTTTGCAGAAGCATCTCTTTAGTGGGTTTGCACTCCTTGATAAAGCAGCAGCAATGCCCCATGCAGCACATCAGATGGTGAGCTGCAGAACCACAGCATCACTGCCCTGCCTCCTGCTCTGCCCAGCTCTCTTGCTGTAGAGCTAGGCAACTTCTCCCTTGAAGGCCACTCTTCAGAGCTCCCCTCACCTCCACCAACAAACATAACAGAGTATTTTTACCCTTATGCACTTACTGCACGTCACTTCTTGTTTCTAGCAGACACAGCAAGCAGCAGAACCTTCCCCCTTCCCCCTGCAAACCAGTTTTCCCATTCCCCTGGGGGAACCCTTCATCCCTCCCCACCCAAACCACAGCTCTGGATGCTGGTTGCCCAGCTTGCTTCCCACAGACAGATTTACTCACTAGGGGTCATTGGTAAATCGAGGAAGTCGTGGCTGAGGGAAACCATAGAGATGACAGTAGAGTACATCAAAGCAGTAGCAGCACATCTCTGCTGTCACCACCAGGTTCTTGGTGCTGTTGGCAGTTCCATTGGGCCGAGTGAGCGGGCTCAGAGCTCCTGAAGTGGGATTCATTCGAGTAATTGGGGAATTTCCTGGGCCCAAAGTCAAGTCAGATACGTTCTCCCTTCCATTATTCCCATCCGTGTGCTGGTGGTTCTGAAGAGGACCTGAACTGGAGCCTGGTACAGTTGTGGTCTGATTTCCATGACTGTGCGTTCCACTCCCGGACAATTTGGGCTTCTTCACCCCACAGCAGCCAGCTGCCAGCTTGGGCTCAAGTGGAGGAACACAGCGTCTTTTTCCCATCCTGCTTCAAAACTCGCTGCCTGGAGCACTGCAGAACCCTGGCAAGGAGGGGGTGGGGGGGAAAAAAGGCAACACACAACACAGTTACAGGAGAAACACCAACAGCTGCTTCCTCGCTTCTGCTGAAGTGTCAGCAAGGTTTGATTTTGCAACCAAAAAAAGGAAGAAAATCCTCACAGCACGCAGCTCAGTTAAGATCTAAAGCCAGTTCAGCCAGCAGAATGGGCATTTTCACACCTGAAGTGAGAGTCTGCACACAACACCCACGAAATCACACTTCTAAAGTTACTGGTGAGGTGTGCTGTAATGGGCAGCTCATCACAAAGCTCAAACGTAACCAGCCTTCCTGGGCAGAGGATGAAACCCCAGGGGAACAGAAGACAAGATACAAGCAGCTGCTTTTGCAGCTCACCCATCCACCCTGGGCCAGTGCAGAGGGAAACACTGGTGCCAAAGCAGGCGTGCATTTCCCTCACCCATCCCCAACAGAACAGTGGCACCTTCAGGGCTGGGCTCCCAGGGCTGCTGCCCTTGACTGAGCACGAGCCTAAGCAAGGCACAGAGAGAAGCTACAAGCATTGAATCACTGTTTCCTAAACAACAGGCTGTGTTCCAGACCCTGTGAACTAGAATCTGCATTTATTTTGTAGGATGAAGTAAGTCAACGGTGCTCCTCAACAGGGTTGTGCAGTCAGGACGTGCAGGAGAGGAAGAGCTGAAGCCTGAACAGTTTGAATCACTGTTTCCTAAACAACAGGCTGTGTTCCAGACCCTGTGAACTAGAATCTGCATTTATTCTGTAGGATGAAGTAAGTCAATGGTGCTCCTCAACAGGGTGTGCAGTCAGGAGGTGCAGGAGAGGAAGAGCTGAAGACTGAACAGTCTGAACTGAGGGCAGCAGGAACAACAGGAAATAAACATGGTATTAAACCACCCCAGAATGATGTTGTGCTTGTGAGGAACACAGGGCTGGCTCTTGCATCACAAGAAGGGGTGGGACAAATACAAGGAGGAAACCCCGTGCAGGCAAAACTAGAGAAAGATGACACAGGCCAATGGCAGAAGGGCAACACCAACATCAGCACGAGACCTGAACACACCAAGGGAGGGGAAAACTGTTCCCCCAGCTGTCAGGTGGGGCTGAAAGCACAGACATGTAACCCACAGAGGACACCAGGGAGAACTGTAAGTCACACTGTGAGCACCACGCCACTTCTCTAGCCAGCAGAGCACTCCTCCAGCTCTTCTGAGTATTGAGCTGCTGGCTGAACTGACAGCAGATAGATGGGGGGGAGAGGTGCTGAAATCCACGGTGGGACAACTCCTTCCTTTCCCTGCACCTGCAGGCAACATAAACTTTATCCCTGAAGCTTCACTAGCTGTGCCTCAGTCAGCTGAACCCGAATTGAACAGAGGAGGTGTGAGATGTGTTGAGAGGCACAGCTCTCAGCACAGGACACGTCCACGGGCAGCAGTCTCCCTGCTGAGAACCCTCCTTCCAAGGTTTTAACAAGGCGATCCACATAAGGAACCATTTACAAAACCTAACGAAAATTATCCTTTGATCTCTACCTTCATCATAATAATTAAAAAAAAATAATTAAAAAACGTTAAAAGAGAAGTATAACTTTGACAGAGCGAATTGTCATTTCCTCAGTGCTCTGCTATGGCTGGAGAGGAGCTGGGGGA